TTATTATTATTATTATTATTATTATTATTTCTTATTTAACTTATTATTTTTATGATAATATTATAAAAATTATTTAAATAAGAATGATTTTCTCTGTCCAAGGATAAATAAATCAGCTCATCAGTCCACTTTAACTTGTAGAATTAGACTTGTGCACTTAGATTTCAGATATTTTTTTTGGGAAAATTAGGGGCCAAAGCCCATATATTAAAGAAGCAAAATTACAATGAAATGAAACATTTAGTTACAAGAAAGTATAGAAAAAACTATACCCCCCAAACCTTAAAGTAAAGCAGCAAAGAAAATTACAGAGATTTGGAACGGTGGGCTCATAAAGAAGGTCTACAACAAAGGCGTCAGTTCGGCCAATAGCCAGAATCCAGCAAACGAGACACCGGTTGCCTGGGGTGAAGACGACAGACCATCACAGCGTCCCAATGATAAGTATAAAGCCTGGTTGCCAAGGGCCATCCAAGGAAGCTGGAATGAAGTAGACCATGGCTCATCATCGTCCCAAAAATCCAAATCTTGTAGAACGTGAATAGAGACCCAAAAATATATCTCCAGAAGAAGATATAATCCTCCAGCTGCCAAAAACCATTTACAAGAAGTAGCAGCTTCCAACAGAAAAACCAAAACCTGCAGTATAACCAAAATAACAAAAAGCAAAAAGGATCTGCCAGAAAAACAGGAAAACAATCCTCTCAGAAAAATACTCCAATTAGCCCAAAATTCTAGCAAATCTGTCTTTAAGAACATCATGACAATTCCACCTCTTAACTTTCGCACGAATAGCTTGAATTATAACAGCCTTAAGCTCATTAGGACTTCTCCAAACATTAGCAAACCTCCGGTTGTTCCTCTCCCTCCAGAGAAAATATATAATAGCAGCAACATTAATGAAACTGAATTGTTTTTCCATCATACCAAAATCCCGGCAATTATCCAGAGCATCATAAACTTGCATCAAGTTAGGCCTTAAATAAATTTATTCATCACAGGCAATAGACTAGACAGAATAGTAAACGAGAAGTCGCAAAGGAAAAAAATATGAGAATGATTTTCCAAGCTTTCCCCACAGAAAGAGCACCCAGAAAAAACGGGAATGCCCCTAATAGCAAGATTATCAGCAGTTTTGAGCTTTCCTAACATAGACATCCAGGAAAAACAAGCAAACTGTAAAGCACAGCCTTTATGCCAGATATACTTATGCCAATCCACATAATCCAAATCATCATAAAATTTAGCCGTGAGTTTCCAAGCAACAGGTTTGGGGGAGCCCTCCCAAGATAACACTGGTTGCTCCCCCAAAATAACCGTGTTTAAAATATCAGAAGCAATCTCCCTGGAAACATAATCCGGCAAATCCCATTGACCGTCTCTAATAAACACATGTAAAGGTTTATGATTCAGCCTATTAGAATAAAACCTCTCAGCAATAGGTTTAGCATTACACCACGGATCCCATAGGAAAGACAAATTACAGTTGTTGTGAACCAAAAGAGAGACAGAGGGAAGCATAGAAAAAGCCACTTGACAAAATAATTTCCAGAACTTGGAGGCAAACATAGGAGGAGATTTCCAAGGGGAGTCATATTTTCTCCTGAACCAAGCCCCAATTAAATTGTTGTGATTAAACATCCTGAAAATGAATGAACAGGCCATGTTATGATAAAGCAGGTCAAAGGAAGGAAGTCCCAAGCCCCCTTTGCATTTAGGCACAACCACAGATTTCCACGAAATAAGATGAAGTTTCTTATCATTTATGTTGCCAAAAAATAAGAATTTAGAACAAATTCTCGAGATAGCTTTACGACATGCTTTGGGTATGATTGCACCACGAATCCAGTAGGCAATGGTGTTTGCAATAGTGAACTTTAAGAATTGTAAATGACCTGCAAAAGAGAGAAACTTGACTTTCCAACCCTCAAGAAGAGAAGAAATCTTACTCAATAGGGGTTGGAAGTGAGCAAAATGAAGTCTAGAGGTGGAGATTGGAAGTCCCAAATAGTAGATGTAATCCTCAATCCGAGAGATACCAAGAGTGGAAGAAATGCCATTGTCAGAAGTAAAGCCTTTAGGAAATATCAAAGAACTTTTATTTGGGTTAATTTTAAGCCCTGAAGCATCAGCAAAACAATTCAGAATACTTTTAAGGTAACAAGCATTATCATTAGTGGCTAACCCAAAAACCAGAAGGTCATCCGCAAACATGAGATGATTAATCTTGAGATTATGCTTATAAATCCCAATAAAGGAATTGTGCCCTTGATCATCTAAGCAAGAGGATAAAGCATCCATGACAATGCAAAAAAGGAGGGGGGAAAGGGGACAACCCTGCCTAAGCCCAGAGGAGGAATTGAAAAACCTTCTAAAGTCCCATTAATACAAATAGAAAAATGCACATCAGAAATGCAACCCCTAATCTAAGAGATGAAAAGTTCAGGGAATCCCTTTTGCCTTAATTTGTTAAGAAGAAAATTGCGAGAAACAATGTCAAAAGCTTTCTTTATGTCAAGCTTTGCACAGAAATACTTCTGATTACTTTTGAAATCCCTCAACACTTCAGATGCAAGAATAATGTTGTCGGTAGAACATCTCTTAGAAATAAACCCCGATTGACTTTCATGAACAATGAAGGGAAGAATGGGTTTAATCCTATTAGAAATAATTTTGGCCACAATTTTGTAGAAGACATTGCATAATGATATTGGCCTAATCTAAAATAGTATTGGAATGAGTTCCCTTAGGGATCAAGCAAATGGCTGTAGCTTTGGCACCTCTGGGCATCTGACCAGAGATGAAGTAGTGCTTAACAGCTCTGCAAAGATGAAAACCAGTGATGTGCCAAGATTTCTGAAAAAACCCAAAGGAGAAGCCGTCCGGACCCGGAGCCAAGGTGGCAACACCTCCAAAAACCTCTTTTTTAATTTCCTCACTAGAAACAGGAAATAGTAGACTTGGTACCAAGTAATGAGGGACCATATTTCCAACAGGGAAGTTGAAGGAGCTTTCAAAAGGGGGATTAGGTGCATTATAAAGCTCTTTGAAGTGGCCAATCAAAGCAGATTTAAGATCCTCATGAGAAGTGAGAATACCCGAAGGGGTCTCAAGCACATTGATAGAATTTCTGTTCTTTGTAGATCTGATCTTGGCATACAGAAAGCCAAGATCATCCTCCCCTTGAGATAGCCAGTAGGCTTTAGCCCTTTTAGAAATCCAGGAAAACTAAGCCGCTTGAAAAGAAGCAAGTCTGTCATTGGCTTCTTTAAGGGAAGAGTTTAAAGTATGATTTAAAGGGTCCATTTGAATTTCAGAACAATATTTTTCTTGTAAGCTTTTCAACTCCAAAATCCCATGAGAAATGAAATTGGAAGAACTCCAGTTCTTCCCACGAAATATCTTTTTAAGAAGCCTCAAGCAGTCATAGAGGAAGGTAATGGGACTAGAATTGATTGGTCTCGCAAAAGTCGAAAGGACCTCCTCCCAAAAACTGTTCATAGTGGTCCAAAAATCTTTAAACATGATCCTCTGAAAAGATTTATTTCTTTGAGAAGCAAAGAGAATCAAAGGGGAATGATCAGAACCAGAAGGTGAGTCAACCTTATAGTAGGCAGAAGGAAACAAATCCAAAAAGGAAGAGTTTATCAGCATTCTGTCAAGTTTGATGTGAATTGGGGCCTCCACCCTTTGGTTAAACCAAGTAAAGATTAATCCAACCGAAGCAAGGTCTTGTAAGCCAGCATCAAAAAGAAAATTATTCAATTCCCCCAATCTATCAGTAGATAAACTGTTCCCACCAGCTTTTTCACTATGAAATCTACAACAATTGAAATCTCCCATAACCATCCAAGGAAGATTAATACTGTCCGAAATACCAATGAGGTCTTCCCAAAGCACTTTCCTTTCATCAGGATCGTTAGCAGCATACACAACAGAAAGATAAATAGGATGAAGAGAACCAGATTCAACAATACCGTGAATCACTTGAGAAGAAGTGAAAGAAGGGGTGAAGGAAATTTGAGAAGAGTCCCACTTAATCTAAATTCTACCGGGAGTAGAATTGGAAAAATTATCACAAGAATTCTCATTCTGAAATAATACATGAGTAAAGGAAAACCAATTGTCGGCAATAGAAGAAGGATGAATCTTAGCTTCAAGAATGGCTAAAAGCTTAAGGTTGTAAGTAGCAATTAAGTCCTTACACATCTTAGATATCGGTTGGGATAACTTTTTTATTATTTTCAGAAATTTTTTAGTATGAAAATTTAATGAAAATTCAATCCCGAATAGAAAAGAAAACCAAATGCATCCTAAGAGCAAATTTGCAATGATTTTAATTTTCATGCATCAGTTTCAGTTTCAAGCACCGAAAAATCTGTGTAATTAAATGAAATGATCACATTATATGCACTTAAATATGGAAACAGAAATTTGATATGAATGAAATTTAATTATAAAATCTTGATAATAATTTTTATGATATTTAGCAAATTAAATCTCACCTGTGCCGACAACGATGACATTAGCTTCCCTCATCACCGAAAGTTGCCCGGCCTGGACTTCTCAGACCAAACAGGAAATAATAATAATAATAATAATAATAATAACTATTATCCTGTCTAATTTAATGAAAGAAAATTGTGTAATATTATTTTTGTGTCATAAAATAGTCATAGTGATAGAGAGAAATATACTTTAATTTTGTACGAAGATCAAGCACACATGCTGATAAAGATATAAGTATAACGTTTAAAAGAGACACCTGAGTGGAAAGGAGGAAAAATCATGGGGCCCTACCCATTTTAAATGAATCAACTAGTATTTGCAATTGATTGAAATTGAGGCCTTTCTTTAGGGGAAAGGCTTTGGCTCGATGTAGCAAGTATACATCATATAGAGTACATTATTTGTTGGGAGTTGAAAAAAATTTTGTTAACATGATTGTTTGGGCAGCACGTCCGTAGTTGGCGGGCAATGTGAGTCGGAAGGACTGTAGTAAGGTAATGGAGGTCGGAAAGATCGTAGTTAGACGACGGTGGTTAGAAGGATCGTAGTTGACGGGTGGCGGAGGTTGGAAAGAATATAGTCGGGTGACGGTGGTCAGAAAGAACGTATTAGGCTTGCGAAGGAGTTAAGAAAGACTGTAGCAGTGTGACTTTGGTTAGATGGATTGTAATCTAAGTTTGGTCAAATTGGAGATCGGATGGCTTAGAATTTAATTTTGAAAGTTTCCAATCAGAAATTGCCTTGAGATTCATGTTCAATAAAAAGTTTACACCAAAACTTTTCAAATAGCTCAAAATGTATTATAGAGGCTCTTTTGAGCTTCAAAAATGTCAAAATTGAGTTCAGAATATTGAAAAAAGATTTCGAGGACCCCAATAATGTTCAAATCGAACTTTCTGGAAATAATTAGAATTTAATTATTGAAATACTGTAGTGGATTTCAATAATGTTCAAATCGAAAAAAATATATAATTAATTAATTTATTAATTATAAATGAATCTGTAGTAACCAACATTTATGTTTTATATTTTATTAAATAAATTTC